TTGACCTCAGTGTTTGATCATGAAAGGGTTAAGCATTTTTTTATAGACGAAAATGGAAAGAGGAGCTTATTCTGAAATTAGCTTTAAGAACTAATTTTTTTAACTAAAGAATATTTCAGGTATGAGTTTTTAAGCTTTAATGTCCTGATTGTAAACCACTCCTTGTTAATATAATCAATGATAGCATTGGTATGAAAAGAACAGATGTGATATCAACAATCGTTTTTGGTGAAACTGAAATTATAATAGCTAATTGTTTGAGTGTCTGATCTTCGGGAACTGAGTTCCATTTGTTATGACAAACTTTGTTTTATTTCAATCAATAAAGCAAGCAATCAATTTTATCTATGAAGCACCCATCCATGTTGCAGCCATCTTCCTGGAAACACATAACAAAGGGTATTTCTGAACTGGGTTTGAACCATCCAGGGTCACAGTCTGCAGGTGCAAATACCAGAGTTGTTACATAAACTGAAACTGGTGGGATCCTCCCTTTTCCTCCCCTCTTTGTATGAGGGCTGGTGGATATTAAAAGCGATGTACTTTCATCTTTTGTTCACTTCCCTGGACTAGCCAGGTGAGTCATTGCTCATATTCTTTGCTTAATTTCTTAATAAAATAATAATCAAAATGCATTTTGATTCGTTCTTGGTGGACTCAGAGTTTCACCTTAGGTAAGATTTATTTATTTCCTTAACACATTCATTATACATTTTTAACTAATACAGGTGCAGTAAACATTCTGAATATTATTTGCTAAACTGCAATAACAGCCAAAAGTAACTTCAGTGTATCAAAGCATTCACCATGTGTAGACCAGGGTTAAATTGATCTCATCTGTCTGAAACAGCCTCCCTGATGTTGTTTCAGTCTATCTTCAGATGGAAAATTTATACTTCCCATTTACTCTCAAGCTTTTCTCAGCCTTTTATGACTGAGGGCAATTTTTACTCCACAAAACCAAGCAAACTACTTTTGAACATTTCTTGAATATTCTGCCATTAGGATGGGATGAAAACAAAGCACAAGTCTTGCAGTTGCTCTTTGTAAGCATTGCAGGATCACTGCCCACAACGTTAGAATGAAGCTAACATGTTAAAACCTCTGCTAGCGGTTCATCTTAATTTTTCAACAAGGTCAGAAAATCACAATAAAATATTACTGGTTTTAGCTTGATGTGGTCAAGTTAAACCCAGTAATAAGAAACGACATGGAAAGTGGATGCTACTGTGCTGGATGTGAATAAAATGAGAGCTAGACTTTTCTCTTTGGCTCTTGGTGAAAGCAGACACTTTCCCCCCCTCTGCTCCTCCCCACACACTTTTCACCCTGCTGCTCTGCTCTGTCTTGTCTTGTGTTGTTTTCTTTTGAAGCCTCTTTGCATTTCCGCTGAATCTACGAATTATGGTTCTGGTCAGCTGATTTCTCAATGCAATTGATGAAATTTTTTCAATGAGAAGAGGGAGAGGCCACGTGTCCTGCTGGACTCATTACACGAAAATTTCTCATTACTCATTACAAAACATTTTGTCTGTCCACATTATACCTGGAAGACGTGGAGGACCTGTAGTTATTTGATTCATGATAACGGCATTTCTGCTGATTGGGCTGGAGGATACCTGACATCTCGACAAATTCAGAGGACTGCAGCAGGTGTTTCGGCCCTTTTTAAGCTGCCTGATTAGTTTGTCTGTCCACGTTGGGCCGTCTGGTGAACGGTCAGACTAATATGCTGTGGGACCAGAGCCGCAAACTGAATGCCATTGATGCTGAGATTTGCAGGCATGCTGCAGGTACTGGAGTTCACCAGCAGGATGGAGTCAATCGTGGAGAAGTTACTAGTCTGGTCTGTTGGAATTAACAGAGATGCACCAAGAGACTTTAGGACAGATTGAAAAATTTTAATCTGTCAGAAATACAGAATGTTCTTATCTCAATTGGCTCCCATATGACTGCCTTTGTTGGTTGACTAGAAGATCTGTAAATAAGCTGCTCTTTCCTATCTCCTCTCTCACTCTGAATGACATCCATGAAATTGTACAGCCGGACTCAAGAACTTGCTCTGAGATAGTACCATCTTATCAGAAATTGTGCGTAGGAGACTGGGCTTCACAGACAAATATGCATGCATGTCTCATGATTACAGATACATCTCCCTGATGTAACT